TTTGTAATATGTTTAGAAAGTATTAAAAAATATATAATTTGTAATACAGTTTTGTTATATATTAATATACACTTTTTAAAATATTAATATATTTTTGTAATATATTTATAAAAAATATGAATTAAATCATAAAAGTATATATTTTGTAAGCTAAAGTATATTATAAAGTATTCAAATTTGTAAGAAAAAGTATATATTGATTTGAAAACATGAAATATGCGTTAAATATATGTATTAAAATATATATAATACTTAAAAAAGGTGAAGTCTAGGGTGAGGGTTTAATTAAGTCCCTCATCGGTAAAACCTCTAAAATTGACCATTAGATTTGATCAACGCATCCAAATTGTTATAATTAAAATAAGCATATTTGTACAATCTCACACACAATTTTCTCCCACTATAACTAAATTATGTAACTTCTCTTTTTATCATCATTAACTTCCCACTTGAAAACAATATACATTAAACGAAAATTGAATGCAATTAATATTTAAGTGTATAAATTTTCTTATTTTTAAGATTCTATTATTGGTGATGCAATTAATATAACCAAAATTTTTTTAATTTAAAAAAAACATATTTTTATTTATGTTTGGAGCACAAATATTTTTTTACCCTTGTATAAATATTAATTTTAGAATGACATTATATATTTGAATCAGTATAAATATGAATATATTTATAATTATCTAATAAATATCATCTCAATTTCTATATCAATTATTTTATATTAAATATAGGTAAATATATATTGATCATTTATGAACTTGTCCTCTTAAAATTTGAAATTAAATATAGATAAATAAATTAATGAGAATCAACATCATCAAAAATATTAATAATAATAAAAAAATTAAATTTAACCGATAAAAGTCATATATTATGTAATTAAAATTCTCATAATCTCTATTATTCTAATTCTACTAATTATTTTCAATCAATTATTTTTTACCCTATCTCATCAACTAACCATTTTTGTTTGAATTTTAAATAAAAAATATTTTGAACAATATATGCATTAATTGGTTTTGTAATAAAATAAAAAATAGTATAAATTTATGTAAAAATTGTTATAAAATGAATTGGTTTTGATTTAGTTAGGCATTAAAGTTTTTAGCGTAAACACATTGTTGGAGATATGAAACAAACCTAACAAGTTGCTTTCACTAGCTCTCATACGCTCACCTACGTAAATATCAACAGTGATAAAAAAAATTGATGTGTAAGGAAATTCCTTCTCTTGAAAATTGTTTCGCAAAGCACGACTCGAGATTTTCAGAGACAAACTCTCTGCCATTGAAGAATACCCGCACACTTATAGTTAAATATGTTGTATATTTATTTATTCAGTTTGTAAATGTTGATACTTAAAATTAGGTTATAGGTTTTGATAAATTTATCATTTTACTCATTTGTAAATGTATTATCATTGTAGATCTCTCTAATTATGCACCGTGAACACTACGCCAAAAACAACCTTTAACAGCGCAACAACGCCAACGCTTATATAACAAAGCGCTCTTATAGGATTTTAGAAAAATTCGCTTTAAAAAAGCGCTTTAAAAGAGTAACCTTATCCGCTTATCCGGGTTCTTCATTGGATTGTGTCGCATAATATTCGTCCCAAGAAAGGCGGATATTCCAGAATTGACAAAGCCGAAGTAGCCTTGCTGTATGCTCTCATAAAGAAAGTCAAGGTTAATTGGCCTTACTATATTACTAGTCGCATTTTTGCACTGAGAGAAAAGAACAAGGTGGCCTTGAGTTATCCGTCTCCCATTCAGTACATCTTGATTAATGCAAAGGTTGTTGTGGAAGGGTTGCCTATGATGTCCATCAATCCAAATCATGAATTTCAACAAAAAAACGCTCACTCTTATGGGACACTTATGGTATCCTGTTGAAAAGAAGTTTGTTTTAAATTTGAGACTTAATAGTCAATTTGAAACTGCTAGAACAGATGGTACTGTTACGCTTGAAAAAGCTCTAGTGGTGACAACACTGAGTCTGATGAGGAAGATCATGATGATCAAACTCAGCCTATGGAGGAAGATCAAGGCGACTGGGTCAGAACAGATGTACAGGAACATGACTTATATGAAGACTATGGTTGGAATAGAAATGAAGAAGAGGTAATTCTCTATGATAATCAAGGTTGGGGAGAGTGGCAGCACACTGGATGGACTCAAAATCAGTCATCTTACCAGCCTTAATTTCAACCATTTCACGCATATTCTCCACCAGAGTACACCTCACCTTCTAATGATGAGCCGAGTATTCGTGCTATGTTGCATAATATGCAACTTCAACAGGAAGAACACTATGAGGCTCAAAATAAAGCTTTTAAGGCATACACTACTCTGTAGACTGAGAGAGAGAAACAACACCAAACTCAGCATACTGAAATGATGAGTCTTATGCAGTAGATACAACAATGAGCTTAATGAGCTTAAGTATAACTTTAAACCTAATAAATTATAAAATATTATTATTTAAAGATAACTTTTTTCCCATTTTAACGGATGTTTTATTAGTATTTTTCAATTCATAACTCGATGGAAAATCATGATATTATGATATGATACGATAAAAATTATTAGAAATTGATTCAATCAATTAAATATGATTTTAAATATAATAAATAAATGATATTAAAAAATTTATAAATCTAATAAGTAAATGATATTAAATAATTTATAAAAATAAATGAATGATTTTACATAAATTATTTTAAATATAATAAATAAATGATACTAAATAATTTATAAAATAAAATTATCATTTAAAAAACATTAATTTTTTCATTTTAACTATTGTCATATGTAATAAGTAAATGATATTAAGATTTTAATTTATAAAAAATGTTGGTATTTTTTAAATCATAAAATGTTAGTATATATACTAAAAAAATGCTACATTTATTATAAAATCATAAGACATAATTGGTAAATACACAAATTTCTTAGAAAAACTACAAGTTTCTCATTATTTTTCAATTTAAAACATCATCAAAAGAATGCGAATAAATATTCAAAATTATGGCTCAAACTTCGATTACTCATTTATTCTAATTAAATTATCTTATTTTACTTTTTAATATTTTTTGTTTTACTTTAGAACAAGCTATTGCATATTATATATAGTAAACTTATAAATTTTGTCATCACCGTTCATGCGAACCAATTTATGTTATATAATCTCCATACTACCTATTATGAGTTATTAGAAATTTATATTTTGTATAATTAAATTTTTTAATTACTCGACCCAAACAAAATGCAAACATATGGGTCTGCAAATTAAATGACATACTCATTCACGATTTTATTAAAAAATAATTTATATTTTTTAAATTATTGAATTCATAAATTTATTAATAAAACATGCATACCTCACTCAATTTTTAAAAAAAAATATTTGACACTTAATATAATATTTTTAAAATTCATAATTATGAATGATCGTTAAATATTGATCATATAAAAATTTACATACATGGAATATAAAACATTAATGACATAAAAATAATATGAATAGATTCAATTATATATATTAGAAAGTTATTTAAATATAACTAAAATACATATTTATAATATATTTTAATTTAGTGTTTGGAATACGCAAATTAAAATTATATTTATTTAATTTAAAAATCCATCTTTTATGATAAAATGGTAGTATTTATACTAAAAAAATACTATCAATATATGTTTTAATAAAAAAAACCAGAGACAATTATGAAAGATGAATACACAATTTTTTTTATAAAATATAGAAACTTTTCATTTTTTTATAAATTTAAAACATTACCAAAAGAATGTAAATTAATGTTCAAAATTATCGAAACAAGTAACAATTATTCATTTGTTCTAATTCTTCAAAACAAAATTTATCTTAGTTTGGAACTATAAATAGTATATTTGATCAACATTTAAATATTTTGAATCAATTAGTAATTTACATTTTTTTTCCTATTTCATTAATTGTTTATTTGTAGTTAATTATAAAATATATTAAAAATACTCTTTATACCTAGTCATATTTTGCTTGTCTTTCATTTTTCTTTCTAAATATGTTAGTGTGTATTAAATATTTTTTTTAAATGTTTTGCTTGTCTTTCATTTTTATAAAAAATTTCAGTACATTAATATATATTAATATAACTCTTCATATTACTCGACACGTCGAATGCAAGTAAAACAACCATGTCTGATGAGCCAAATGTGTTTTTTCACCGGTAACAATTTGTGTCACAAACAAACATGTATATGTTGATTCCATCAAGAAGATTGTAGTTTATTTTCAATCTATCAATTATAAATATGTTGTACTCAATATTAGAAAACAAATATTTATTTCTTTTACAATTTCATTATATATTTTATTATAAATTAAATATTTAAGAAAAAGATAATAAATTAATCATTTTTTTCTTTAAAAAATGACATACAAATTTTAAGTTATGTCGACAAGCATTTTGACTTTTTAAAATTAAAATTATGTCGGTAAGACTTTTTATTTTATATTCTAATTTGATAATAGGAATATGCAAATTAAAAATTGCAATTAATAATATATAAATAAATGATATTTATAAAAAAATAATTCTATTAAATTTATTTACATTCTTTTTAATTCATATATATATTTTATATATAATTATTAACCATCGTTATATTATATTTATTTGTTATTTATAAGTATATTACACTACTCAGATGAGCGTATAGATGTATAGATCTCTTACCAGTGAATGATAAAGAAAAACACACCTATTTAATATAGATAAATAAATAAAATTAAAATTTATTTTATATTTTGTTTTTTCTTAATCAATATTGCTCAACCCTTTGTATTGCCAAACTACTTTTTAATTAAATTCAATGTATTTGATCCTTACCTTTATACCAAACAACTATGGTTACCATTTTATAAATAGTGTAACTATGAACCCTCTCTTCTTAAACAAATACTTTATTTACACTCTCAAATCTCAAATGGCTTCTACTTTCAAACTTCTCTCCCTCACTCTGCTCCTTGTCCTAGTTTTTAAAGGTATCAACATATATTTCATAACTTGTAGCATAGCATATATTATACATCTAGTTTTATTTTTACTTAATGTCTCTGCAGTTATACATTACAAAATTACAAATAACAATTTTTAAACCACATTATTTAGCGCCGGTGTAGCATATCATATATGTTAGATTTTGTGCCTTATGGATATCAGTGAAAAATATTTTATAAATTTAAATAGGTTAGATTTTCTGCCTTATTATGCGATAGTTCATCTTTCACGCTCTCAAAAACATCCTATTTTTATTATATCTTATCTTATTTGTGGTTAATATTGCAGCTTATGGAGTTTGTGCTTTGAATAAAAGTGGAGTTTGTGCTTTGAGTGAAATTGGAGTTAGACAATATAAAACATCAGGGTATGCACATGGAATGGAAGTGTGGAAGGTTAATGTAACCAACAATTGTGAATGTAGTCAATCACAAATACAGTTCAACTGCACTGGATTTCAAACATATTTATCTGTTGATCCAGCAATTTTTAGTGATGATTGTCTTCTCATTCAAGGAGGACTTCTTCATCCTTCTAAATCTGCCACTTTCTACTATGCTTGGGATCCTAAGTTTACATTTACACCGATTTCTTCCAAAACTTCATGTTCTTAGGACTTCTCAAAGTTCATGTTCTTAGGAGTTAGGGTTATTAGTAATTAATAATAATAAAATATAGTTATGAGTTAATGAAATGAAAAGCTTTACTATGATAATAATTAATTTTCATGATTGTTTCTTTTATTTTTTATTATTACTATTGTTCTTGTTAATTTATTCTAGTCATTGTTGAGTTAGAAAAGTAACATAAGCAACGGAAAAAAACTGTTGTGAGAGTGTATAAAATTCACAATCTCATGCAATTGATTAAAACGTTTTCATATCAAATACAAATTCTGCAATAAAATATATATACAACTGTTGTTTTATTTTTAACATAAATAAAGTGTTTTTTTCAATAACCCTTTTTCTAGAAAGAATATTCAATTTATTTATTTTGAATGGCAAAGAATAATATATCCTAGTTTGAAAACTACCTTTCCAAATGTCTTATATTTGGGGAAAATATATAATAAAGCACATTTTAGAGTAATATTTTTTTTAAAGTTGTTTGACTGATATATTCAAGATCGTCTTAAATAATATAGAGACCTGGTTTTAATATTAAAGTTAGATATGGAAAATATTATTTATTTATATAATAAATAGAATAAATGATTTATTAACATTATTAATAACATAAAAAAATCTTTATAAATAATTAAAAAAGTCATGTCAATGATATCAAAAATATAAATTCAAATGAATACAATTTTTCATCTATTTAAAAGAGTCGTTGTTCTATCATCAATCAAGCAAATGAAAAGATCCTAAAAGATAGTAAATCTAATTTTTTAGTTTTATAATTATTAATTTGTAAATTATGCCAAAACTAATTAAATTTTTAAATCTTTATAAAGTGTTTTTATTTAATCAAATATTGTATAAGATTATGTCCCAACCTATAGTCAGTCTTTTTTTCTACTCCATGAGTATTACAAAGAATTGATAAAAAAAAATTTCTGAAAAGAAGGGTTGTCAAATTAGTTGATAACAATATGGAAAAATAAAATAAAATATATAATATATAATATTTATATATAAAAAAATTAACAAATTTTTTTTATTATTGTTTTAAAAATTGGATCAAATTGTTCGGTTCAACTGGTTGAACCGAGAATCGGAGATCAATCTGCTTTTCAAAATTGTTAGTAGGTCAAAATCAGATTAAAATCGAAAAAATTGAATTGAACCGTTCAAAATCATTCTAATCAAAGAATCGTAGTTAGTTTTATAATACCGTCTGGTTCAAAAAAATGCATTAAATTGACCATTTTTTAATTTTTTTTTATAAATTTTAATATTTTAATATCAATACATAACATATATTCCCCAATCACAAAAAAGAAGTCCGTGAGTTTTTTTACACTCATACAAACTTTTAAATTTTATCACTCCGTTATAGTTTTTCTTTCAACCACACTCCATCATCATCATATCGTCTCTTTCAAACATAGTCACGATGTCTAACTCAATATTGATTGTCGTTCAAGTCAATATTGTTTATTGTTGTTAATTAAGATTTGTTTGTCGTATTTCAACTCAAATTCGATTTTTGTTATTTAATGAAATATATTGTATTATTTATATTTTAATATTCTATCTTATTTAATTTAGGTATTCTTAATTATTTGAACTTTATCTTAGTTATTATATTCTATTATTTTTATTTTGGTTTGAATTAGTTTAATTTATTTTATTATAATTCTTTAATTTGGTCAAAATATTCTTAAATGATGGTTAAAATGAAGTATAGATATATGTTATGTATTATCGATATTATAGTATTAAATTTGTAATGAATTTTTAAATTATTTATTTTATTAAGTTTTGAACATATAATTATGTGTGATATATCTATAAAATTTAGTTTTATATTACTAGTTTATTTAATCAATTGAACATTAAATTACAAGTTTCACCGGTTCGATTTTTGATCCAATTTTTAAAACATTCAGTTTTATAAAAAAAAAGAGTAGTATGATGAACTATTTAAAGAAGGTCTAATTTTTTAAAAAAATATAGACAAATAAAATTTAAAAGACAATTTATACTCCTATTAGAGATGAGAGTAGAGTGAAACTCAAGGTAACGTTAGAATGTAGAATTGGCTTTCATAAAAAGAATGTATCTAAAGCAGTAATGTCCACCAGTAAATAAATAAAATAAAAACAAAATTTGTAATGTAATTTTACTTTTGATGAATTGTCCGGTATTAAGGATTGAAAAATTATTTAAAAAAATATCTAGAATACATTAATGGATATTAAAAAGAATTGAAAATTTAATAATTTATTATCGGATTAAAAAAAATGAGATTTATTGTTGTGGTGTTTAGAAATTATAGTGGTTTCTGGAATTGTGGTTTAGGAAGGTGTTAGATTTCTTTTACGGTATTTAAATAAAAAATATTGTAACAGTTGTGCCAATAAACATGAGTAAAATTATTGACTATGCGAAAAATGAAAAATATAATATATGTGTATTATACTCTAAGTATAGAAAACGTTAATCTGTTTGAAAAAGTTTTATGTTCATAAAAAGATAAAGTATTAAAATAGTTGAAATATCAATGATAACGAGAGTGTTGGAGTTTTATATTGTAATTATTATGACTACTTGCATATCAAATGATCATATATGTTCATTTTAAACATCAATAGATGATATTACCACAATTATAAAAAACACATAAAATAACACCGTGTTATTACAAATATTCAATCAACTGCTGTAATATGTGATATTTAGGCGCATGCATTTTTTAATATTTTATTTAACTATTTATTACCACGGTTGATTTAATATCCGTGGTAAAAAGTGACGCATAATCATGGTTCAAATTGTAGCACTAACATTTTTTATTTTTGATTTTTTTTTAAAATACTGACCGACTTTTTACCACATGTATTTAAATTAACCGTGGTTATAGGTGACAGACTTTTTACCATTGGTATTTAAATCAACCGTGGTTATATATATATATATATATATGTATATATATATATATATATATATATATATATATATATATATATATATATATATATATATATATATATATATATATATATATATATATATATATATATATATATATATATATATATATATATATATATATATATATATATATATATATATATATATATATATATATATATATATATATATATATATATATATATATATATATATATATATATATATATATAAAACACTTATAGTTCATTCACTTTTCCCCTAGACGTACTTAGACAAACTTCATCTTCTGCCTCCAAATTTCTTCCATTTACGAAACATTATTCATCCACTAGACCAATCTTAAAAATATTATTTCTTCCACAAACAAAACTCAAAAACATTGCTTCTATTGACGGGTTACAGTTTGTTCATTTTTAATGATTCTACAGGTAAAATATTATTGTTTAACTATTCTATTTTTTTTATTGTTGTTCGAGTCGTTGTTCTTCTTGTTCTTGTTGTTGCTCTTGTTGTTCTTTTTATTATTCTTATTTTTATTTTTGTTGTTGTTATTATTGTTGTTATTGTTCTTGTTGTTGCTCTTGTTGCTCTTGTTGTTATTCTTTTTTTTTTGTTGCACTACAATATTTTATACTTTATGGTTTGTATTGTTATGAAAAAAATACAAGAAGTATGAAACCATTGTGTAAACTTCATTCACCTTGTACGTTTTTTTATAATATTATAAACTAGATGAACTTCATAATTTAATTCAGTTCAACGATTAGATTAAAAAAAATATGTGTTCTTGAAATATTTTATTATATCTTATGTTGTTGTATGATGTTGTTGTATGTTGTTGTTGTTGATTAATGTTATCAGAACTTCATAATTTGTTGTTGTTGTTTTTGTTTATTATATCTTGCGTTCGTGAATCTTTTTTTTTTTCATTTTGTTGTATGTTGATGTGTTATTAATAAATGTTGTTGTTGTTGATTAATGTTTTCAGAATAAAAAACTATATAGGGGCATGAAATTTGAAATATTACCATGAAATTTGAATCTAATAAAAAAACAAGAACATCCTTTGCTTTTCCCAAAAGAGAGAAACGATTATAATGATTGAAAGTTTTTTTCATTTCTCAAGATGCTGAAGAAGAAGATGCTAAAGAAGAAGAAGAAGAAAAAGAAACAGGTACTGAGGAAGACTGTTTACTATGGCTCAGATGAGGGTAGTGAGGAGCGAGACGTAGATTGCGAAAATTTCTGTAGTGCTAGAGGATATTGTTCTGATGTGGAAAAATTATGTAATTCAAGAATCCTATAATCTTTTCTTTTGATTAATGAAAATATGAAGAAAACCTAAAGCATGTTGAAAACATAAAGCATATTCATAACAATAATACAACTCTAATGAATATGGTTCGTTGGTTTGCTAATTCGCTAGTTCGCTTTGTTGGAAATTCCCTCACATCCTATGAAGAATTCCCTTCAATCTTGATCTCAAGATTGATGAAAAACCCATTATATGATAATGATGGTAATAACAAGTAATTATTAAGAACAACAAAAGAGAAGAAGAATAACAAACAAGAAAGAGAAGAATGAGAGAAGAAATATTTGGAGAAAGTTGTTACCCACAAACTGTGGGATTTCTTATTGAACTTTCACTTGCTAACTGCAACTGTGAAATCTGTTCTGTTGTGATGTAGAATACAAAGCAAGGCACCCTATTTATAGTTTTAGGTTTACACTAACCCAAAACATAAAATGCCCAAAATATTCTAAATCAAATCTAATCATATGATATCAAATCTAATCATATGAAATCTAATCATATCATATCAAATTAATCATATGATATCAAATCTAATCATATGATATCAAATCTAATCTAATCATATGATATCTAATCAAATCTGTTTACACAATGAATTATATTTAACACACCACCTAATTCATTGTGTCTAAACTGTCTACATTCATCATGGCCCACTTCACGTCCATCTGACATGTGTGCCAGTTGTTCATATTTGCTAGACCAACAACCA